GGTTTTTACTTGTTCTTCACCGTCCATTCTCTCTCAGTGTGCAATTGTCGCCCAAATTTTCCTATTCACGAAAGATCTGTCTCGAGTCATCTCTGGAAATGCTTTCTCAGTTGGATGCTCCCGCTGTTAGCCTCCCAGAGGCACAGGCATGTCCACATCTAGGACAGCTCAGTGGCGGGATGTTTCGCGACGAATTTTTCCACGCTGCGATCACCGTCTGTGTGGAGGTTTCCCTCCAAGCTAGCGAATTCTCGTCATCAAAACAGCCTCCGGGCCAGCATAGCTCACTAAGTTCGCTGAATGACTTGGTGCGGTCCCAGCAGGATGTCTTAGTCCGGGCCGTAGAACATACGCTGGACACCTTTGGCAGCCGAATTTCGCCAAGGGGGAAAGGGTGCAAGGCATTTATTTTCCTTGCAATGGCTCTCGCATCCGTCAAAGCGCGCCTGAATGGAGAGGATGCCTTAAGGAAGGTCGAACAGGTTGCTGCAAAATCCATCAAGGACTGTGAACGGCTGATTCGGGGGAAAGCATGGACCGATATCCGAAGAGAAGAAGGACCCGTTGTGGTAAATATATTATTATGTCTCATGCGCTGGCTCCTGCTAATTCAGATATAGCCGGATACCTTAACACCTAGCTTGAACTCTGCGGCTCCTGAGATACCGTTTGATCCTGCGTTGGTTCCCTACGAGTCAGCCTCTGTTTCCGTAAGGATATCCTCACCCTATACTCTACCTACGTTGTTGGACTAACAGTTAGCGACCAGCCACTCGACTTTGGTAACCTGTTTGACTCGGCTGATTACGGATTTCCGGAATTATGGAATATAGACTTTTTCACAGGACTTTGAATGTTCTCGTGAACGCACATAAATGGTTTACTTGTTAGTTGACGCACGTGCGCTGGACGCTTGATGAGTCATCGATGTCACTGGCCCGCTTTTAGCATTGTTGTTGTTGTTGTTTTGTTGTTGTTGTTAAAAGGGCCACTCTTCTTCCCTACCTACCCTAAATCATACTAGATACCCCTCCGAAACCAAACTTTGATAGAAGAGAAGTTGTATATGTTCAGCATGTCGTGAGTGTGGAATGCTCTGCATTAATATGTGTCACTGCAAGTTCGCTTCAATGTTAACACCAACAGGACCGTCCTGACCACTCTTGGTCTTCGGGCTGCTCCCGGGGAACAGGCCTCCAACCATGCCGTGGCCTATCTGCTGGTAAACTGGCTCATCTCATTTGGCGTATTTAGCACGCGGCGGGAGAAGTTGAAGCTCGGTATCGATCACAACCAGGCCCCTCGTGAAGACCTTGCCAAATTTGGAGAGGCAGCTGTACAATCAGGCAAGATCACACGGCAAACCTTGAATCGGCTCAAGCGGCAGGAAGCCATTATGGCCAATTCAGCGGAGCATTACCCGCTATTTGTAGCTGCAAGTATGGTCCTTGCCCAACATGGTGATTTGACCGAGATACATACTGATCTGCTTAGTCCTTGTCGCTCTTCACGCGGGTGTGTCCAATGATATTATTAACCGCATTGGACTATGGTATGCGGTGTCGCGGCTGGCGTTCGGGCTCTGCTATAAGCACATTGAGTCTCTCAAACTGAGCTTTGTTCGTTCGTTCTTTTGGTGGTCGGGCAATATTTGCTGCTTCACCGGTTTCTGGTTTGCCTCGAAGAAACTGTGATCGTACTCAATTTCAGAAATCTTCGTCTTCAATTACTAAGACAACCTTTCCGCCATTACCAGCCCGAGGGTACGTATGAACATATGTATGTATCTTGAATCTTTCCCTCGGCGCCATCAAGGACCAAGGACCAAAGATTATTGGGAATCACAATGCAGATCTGTTGACCATTTTCGGATAAGTGGAGGTCAATACGAGCTTTTTGAACTTTTCATTGAGCCCAGGAAATTAGATCACTTTTGGATTGTGGGGCTGTGATATGTTGAAGGAAATGATCTTCTGTGGATATGGGGCGCTGGTCTGACCAAAATACAGAATAGAACTTCCGATATCCGTCGGCTCCATGTTGTAATTATTTGCCTAGTTAGGATTTACAATGGTACCTGAATCGTCCCGTGAAGGTGCTTGAGATACGCAGCCAGGCGTCTTCGGTTTTATTTTGTTAAGATCATTTCTACTTATTTTCATACTCATATTGATATTTAGTTGTCTTTATAGTGTCTCCACTCTCCTTTCTCCTTGCTCTTGGTTGGTTGGTTAGACGTATTCGCTGACAACGGTCATTTCATAGTAATCGCCCTGGTTGCCAAAGCCATCCCCCTCGACGAAAAATGATAGAAGGCCACAAATCAACAAATTAACGGCGTTGGGATACAAAGCTTGATTTCCCCATAATGCCGAGTGATCTCACGCTCAGGCTGGTACTTCATTTGCAACAAGTGTGGAATGAAGAATATCCGATTGGTGGAAGTATAAAATCCCTCCCACCCGGCGAAACTCTGGCTAGTCCAGAGCTCCATAAGAAGCTATACCCCAGAACCCCAGATATCTCGACATCACATTGGGATTATATTCCCCCGCGATGTGGGGAAGCATTCGATGGCACGATAATCCCAGAGGTGGATCCTGATATCCTGGACACAGATGAAGTCAGAAATGGAGTTATCCTACAGGCGGAGAAACTTCTCGTTGGGTTCCTTGAGATGTGATTTGCTTGGTAATTTGGGTGATAAAAGCGATTGACATAATGAGTCGTATAAAAGGGGCCTGTCTCCGGACATCAAGGGTGTACAACCGCTGAGCTCTACGGATCAAATCAATTAGCAGCAGTATGAAGTTCTTCCTTGCAACTCTCTTCGTGAGCGCCGTGAGCAGCATCGCGGTTGACCAGCTTATCCCTGGAGCACAGATCATCTCTGAGAGCGACACAAGGGGTTTAGAGCGTGTTGGTGGCCACCATGACAAGTATCATGACCGTCGCACAATAACTATTCGACCTTCCCGGAACGATACCGATGATGTATCGGCGGACTTCCTTTGGGGTATCAAGCATGCTAACCACGGGGGACGACTTCTTCTCAAGAAAGGGGAGAAGTATGTGATTGGTAGAAAACTTGACCTGACCTTCTTAGAAGATATTGAGGTGCAACTGGATGGAGAATTGAAGGTATGTATTCTTGGTGTCTGAAGCGATGTTTTATAACAAGCCCGCTGATGTAACAGTTCACGGATGATGTCTCCTACTGGCAAGAGAACAATTTCTATTATGATTTCCAGAAATCCATTGCGTTTTGGCGGTGGGGTGGGAAGGACATCAAGATCTTTGGAACTGGCTTGTTGAACGGAAACGGCCAGAGATGGTACAACGAGTTTGCAGGGCAGGAAATTCTGGTACAATACTTGAATATCATAGATATCAAGTGACCTTGCTAATGAATGATATTAGAATCCCGACAATGACTACTATCGTCCAATCCTCTTCCTGACCGAAAACGCAACCCGGATTTCTGTTGAAGGCATCACGCAACTGAACTCACCTTGCTGGACCAATTTTTTCATCCAGTCAAAAGACGTCTCATTCGATGACGTTTACATCCATGCATTTTCTACGAATAAATCGGTGGGCCTCTCTTTCTCTTTCTCTCTCTCTCTCTTTCCCCCCCCCCTCCCCCCCCACCCTCATCCTGTTTACTAACCGGCAAAGTAGGCCTTACCTAAAAATAGCGACGGCTTCGATTCGCTTAATGTTGACGGGCTGAAGGTCAAAAATACGCGGGTCGACGTTGGAGATGATTGCTTCTCGCCCAAGCCAAACACCACCAACATCTTCGTGCAGAACCTGTGGTGCAATAACACCCATGGGGTTAGCATGGGCAGCATCGGACAGTATCCAGGGGTAATGGACATTATTGAGCACGCGTACATTGAGAATGTGACCTTGTTGAATGGGCAGGTAAGTCTGGCTTGAAGATGGAACCTGGTGCGATGTCATTACTAATAATGATAGAACGGTGCGCGTCTTAAAGCGTGGGCTGGCCAGGACGTGGGCTACGGTCGAATCAACAACATCACGTACAAAAACATCCGCATTGAGAATACTGACGCCCCAGTCGTCCTTGATCAATGTTATTTCGATATTGAGGAAGCGGAATGTGCCCAGTACCCCTCCCAGGTGAATGTGACCAACATTCTCTTCGAGAATATCTCTGGCACATCGTCCGGGAAGAATGGAAAGGTGGTGGCCGACCTTGTGTGTTCGCCAAATGCGGTGTGCTCGGACATTCAATTGAAGAACATTGATCTGACTAGTCCTTCCGGAAGCCCACCGGAGATTGTCTGTGAAGGGGTCCAAGGAGACATTGGGGTAGAATGTCAGGCTTCAGCCGACTGAAGTGTAGACTAGCCATACGAAGAATATGGATTTCGGACCAAGTAGTGTCAATGATCAGACATCTTTCTCTTCTACCTTGGCCTTTTGCTCTCTCTCTCTCCCTTTCCCTAATTAAGGTCGTTCCACCCTCTCATCCCCACGTTAATGTCGCTATTGCCCTTCCCTGGTGGGTGGTTGTTCCCGCAAGGGACGTGTCTCGCACTTCGATAAATTCTTTTTAAACGTCCATACGATACCTACCACGTATAGAAAAGAAAAACTGCTAGGGCCAATGGCAATGACAGTAAAGCATCTTCGTTATTAGTTGTTTATTAATTATTGCAATTGGTCGGTTATGGGTGAGGACCTTGTGCTCGTCGTGAATACAGGTACCTTGCAAGACGTTTTTCAGGGCGCGGATGGAGTACCTTTGGAGTCGGGATGGAGACCTTACCTCATAGACCAATCGCAGGCACGATTATAAATTATATCTCTATGTATAGCTGTGAACCTTGGGGGTGAGAATGTATATACCAGTATATAAATATTCGTACATAGGATCTGGTGATTGAGAGTCTTCTCCTTCTTTTAATTCTTATCTCTTTTTTTGGTGACTTTGGTCCTATGCTACGAGACTTACTCAATAACCTACCAGAATGACGATCAACTCAGGCGCAGAAACCCTCGCCTTTCCTGTGCCCAACAACAACATCAATGGAGCCAAGGGATGTCGACAACTTCCGGTCACACTTCTTTCGGGGTTTCTGGTACGAGGAGCATCTATAACCCCCTTACATGTCGCAAGGAAGAGGCTAATGATAGGGTAAAACAGGGTAGCGGAAAGACAACCCTCCTGGAACATATTCTACAGTCGGACCATGGATTTAAGATTGCTGTCGTTGTTAATGACATGAGCAGGTACGCCCTTGACACAGTATCACAATGGAGAAACCCTACCACGAAGGGCACATTAACCCATTCTAATGAACGTATAGTTTAAACATAGACGCAACCCTCATCAAAAACCACCACGTGTCCCAAACAAAGGAAAACCTCATTCAACTACAGAATGGATGTATCTGCTGCACATTACGCGGAGACCTGCTCGAAGAACTAGCCCGACTTACGAAGCAGGACGATGTGCAGTATGTCGTGATTGAGAGCACAGGGATTAGCGAGCCAATGCAGGTCGCAGAGACTTTCACAGCGGAATTCAGCGCTGCAATGCTAGAGGCAGACGTTGCTGACGAAGAGGGGAAGAAAATCCTCAACCAGATGTATGTATTTCCCACATCCTCCATGTGTACAATCAACGATGAGTTGGACTAACCAAGCAACAGTGTCGAATTAGGAGGCCTGCATAAACTCGCCAAACTTGACACAACCGTTACCGTCATTGACGCCTTTAACCTCCTGACCAATTTTGATACAGCGGAATTTCTCTCTGATCGTTATGGCGGACAGGTTATTCCTGAAGACGAAAGGACCATTTCTGATCTGATGGTGGATCAGATCGAATTCGCGGACGTCATTATCATCAACAAGATTGAAACGGTTGACGAGAAGACTCGCGAGAGGATCAGGTCTCTTCTAAAGCTCCTCAACCCAGACGCCAAGGTGCTTGAAACAAGCTATTCAAAGGTCAATGTCAATGAGATATTGGATACGGGAAGGTTCAACTTTCTCAAAGCGGCATCGGGTGCCGGGTGGTTGAGGAGTTTGCACGAGATGACCAAGAGGGAAACCGGCAATGGGGAAAGGCTGGCTCCTGTTCCCGAGACCATTGAGTATGAGGCTTGCTAACCCCTTTCCTTCCCATCCATCAAGACTAATAACCAAGCAGGTACGGCATCAACAATTTCGTCTACAAAGCTCGCCGCCCATTTCATCCGCGGCGACTTTTCAGTTTGATACATGACAAATTCATTGTCCTCCAGAATGTCGAAACACAAGAAGATGATGGAAGCGAGGAGGAAGATGACGGAAATGAAGTTGAGGACGAGGACGAGGACGAGGAGGACGAAGATGATAAAATGGAAGATTTCCCCCAGCCAGATCCCCAGGAAATTCTCTCAAACAAACGCTCCCACCCGGTCTTCCGTCCCATTTTACGCTCCAAAGGTTTTTTCTGGCTTGCCACTCGCCCGTATCAATTTGGCGAATGGAGCCAAGCCGGTGGCATGCTCACCATTGGGTGTGGTGGACCTTGGTTTGCCGAGGTACCAGACGAGGCATGGCCGGAAGATGCAGATGTGAGGAAGTCCATTGAGGACGATTTTCATGGGCCATGGGGAGACCGGCGACAAGAAATCGTGTTCATTGGGGAAGGAATTGAAACGAGTGCCATTACGGACTTGCTAAACGAATGCTTGTTGAACGATGAGGAGATGAAAATGTGGGAAGGCATTATGAAGAAGAAGAGATTATCTAAAGACGAGAAGCAGGAAAAGATGATGCAGGCGTGGGAAGATGGATGGGAGGAATGGCCTCCCTTGGAGGAGGAAGAGGATGAGCCTGAGCAGGAAAAAGGAAAGCATCGCATCAGTGAGCACTTAGGGCATGGACATTCTCATAATCATAACCACCCCCACAGAAGGGGGATAAAAGCATAGATACAAATAACGTTAAGATGCAGCTCAGCCGCCTTATACAACCTTGGAAACAACCCGTATATCGTAACATATCATCAACACATTACAAGAAAAGCATATCACCACTCATCCACCCTACTCATCCTCAAATGCATCCCCTCCACTGGCTTAGTTGTCACAGCACCTGCGATATGAATTTTCTGCTTAGGGTTCTGCATCTCGAAACGGAAACGGCCGACGACACCAGCGACTGCACAACGCAATTCAGCTCGGGCGAAATCCTTTCCAATACATGAGCGCTGTCCGTGGAGAAAAGTGATCTGTGCAAAGTTTGTCGACGCTCCGCCATTGTTGTTGGTAACAAGCTGGCCATTCTTGTCAGTGTCGATCCAGCGATCGGGCCTGAACTCGTCACCATCATTGCCCCAGAACTCTGGGCTGCGGTTAATGGCGTACGGGCACAGAAGGATGCGGGTCCCCCTGGGGATGTGTTTGCCAGCTACCACACTGTCCCGAACAGCTTCGCGTATAGTCATGGGGACGGTTGGATACAGACGGAGGACTTCCTGACACACACCGTTGAGGAGTGGAAGAGTCTCGAGGTCGCTCCAGGTGATAGGATGATTGCCGGATGGGATACGTTCACGGATTTCGGCACGAAGGCGTTCCTGAACATCCGGATACAGAGTGAGGAGATAGCAGGCCCAGGTTAAGGCACTCGCAGTCGTTTCATGCTGTAGGCCGTGTTAGTTTCACGTGGCATTGTGCTCAAGATAGGGACAGGCATACCCCAGCAGCTAAGAAGGTCAGCATTTGGTCGATCAACTCGTCATCTGTGAAATCGCCACCCAACATCATAGTACCAAGGATGTCGGCCTCAAGCTCCTTGGCCGTTGCCCTTGTAGCTGTGATGGATGCTCGCTTTTCATGGACAATGTCTCTGCACAGATCACGGAGAAACCCGGTCTCATCATTGATCACTTTGTTTAAGCGCCAGGGGATGTGACGTGCAAACCATTGTGGCAGAGCAAAGTTGACGGCTAAGAAGGCCATCTTCTCCTTGGTCGGTTCCAATATAGCCAGGAAACTGTCAGCCACTTTATTCTCGGGATTGTGCAGGGAGCGGAAGTCTCGACCCATGGCGGCCGGCCCGATAATATCTAGTGTAAGCCGACTAATATGGTGTCAGTCATGTATACTCGTCACGATGTCTGACCGTATGAATACCTTGCCCAGACACTCAACTCAACCTTTCCTTCTCCGCTGTCCGCATAAGTGCCATCCATCGGATTCTGTTTTATCTCTTTCTCCAGTTCATCCAGCAAGAGCCCAGTCTTCTCCCACATCAATGAATACAGTGCTCTGATGTTCTTAACATTGAAAGATGGGGTCAGAGCGCGGCGCTGCTTTTTGTGCGCACTACCCTCTGACAGAATGAGTCCGAACCCTATAATACGGGCGAGGAAGTTGCGTGCTCGCCATGGCTTTTCAAAATCGTAGGTGTTGGTGCTCATAATGTCGAGCAAGGCCTGGTGATTGGTAGCTAGGAGGTAGCTACGATTGACAATATCACGGAAATGGATTAGGCCTTCATTGGGAACAGTCTTCATCCACTCCAGCGGCAGACGGCCACGGGGATCATCGAAAACAATACGGGCATTGTTGAGATTGCCCTATCTCCGTTAGCTACTTGTCTCAAGACATGGTGATGAGCGGTGAGAGCTACCGAGATGGTTGGAAGATGGCGCAACGGGGTGATAAAATAAGGATAGATCAAGGTGTTCCAGATGGTTACGAGCACAAGATTGACTGCCACTGAGCTCAACGTAACAGTACGGAAGGTGAGATCCACGAAGACTGTGCGCTGCAGCAGGAAACCTTCGAGGAGAGAAAGGGTAATGAGGACCAGCATCCAGTCCATGGTGGAGGGTAAATCCGTTAACCGACGGTGGAAAGACAGCCAGCTCAGGAGCCCAACAATCTGGGGTAAGGGGGAAGAATATATCGATGTGTCCACTTACTGATGAAAGCTAACGCTTCTAAATTAAATGGCCCCACGGATCGACGTGTTGACCTCGGTTGGAGGGGCACATGATAACGCGAGTGCCTCATGTCTACTATAGTAAGAATTACTATTGACTATAAGCCATGGGCCGAAGTGGATGCCGAGTGAATAGGACCAAGCGATTTTTATGTTGAGGCTTCAAGTCATGTCTGAAAGTTATGAATAGAGGACCCATAGCCCTAATTCTGCGACCCCGCTGTGTGCGTCATGACCCCCTCAGAGTCGTTCCGGGGTTCCACCATAGCTATAGCCAACTTAACTGACAATTGTACTTGAACTCTAGAAAAACATAAGCGATAGGCTTTGGTCCTAGAAAAGAGCTGCTGAATTCAACTTCCAAGTCATGCCTCACGCAGGATGCAGGATGCATACGACATGGGAAGATGATCCTATGATCGCCCACGTGGGGAGCTACAAAAGCCCCTACTCCATCCATGTGAACCCCAACAATGATGTGCAGAACAATCGATATGGTACGTAGTCAGGTAGGGTAAACTTCGCGAACATGGTTCGGTGCCGATTTTGCTTGCAGCTCAGTCATTCTTCGGTGATTTCTTGTTCTCCACTTGGGACGGATCGGCATTCGCAACCCTTGCCCGATGGGGCAAAAATCGTCACACCAAAAAAGAAAGCCCTTGAAACCAGACGTTGACGCTGTTACACCATGTGAGTACCTCGGTCATTGGCCCTTGGCTCCTGTTATGCTTAGATTCTATATCGTACTTATATACATACATATATATATATATAAATATACATATAATGATCCGAAGTACTCCCAAGCGCCGTTCTTGTCAATATTCCGACTTATTATTAGTTCTATAACCATGTCTCTCGATCAATCTCTCCAAATTCTTCGCCACTGGGGCCAGACGGCCCTCGAGCACCTTCCCCCTCAGGCACAAGATGTGCTGCTTCACCCTTTAGTACCTAAGGCTTTGACAGCTTTCCTGGCTCTGGGCATCATACGCAAGGCCAACCGTTCACTGGGTTATTGGGCAGCGAATAACTGGCAAAGCGCCAAACCTTGGCAGAATGAGCGCGAGCTGGTCTTGGTCACCGGCGGATGCAGTGGCATTGGCAAGCAAATAATGGAAGATCTCGCAAAGGCTGGGGTTCGAGTAGTGATACTAGACATCCAAGAGCCATCCTTCCAACTACGTACGTCACTGGCTGCTCTAAGGGGCAATCGAAAGTATTCAAGCTGATGACTGTAGCATCCAACGTCACTTTCTACAAAGCGGATATCACCTCGTCAGAGAACATTCGCACTGTAGCGGAGAAGATCCGTGCAGCGCACGGTGATCCCACAGTCCTGGTTAATAATGCGGGCGTCGGACACGACGGTTCTATCCTCGATGAACCCGAGGCTAAGATTAGACAAACCTTCGAGGTCAACACAGTGTCGCATTTCCTGATGGTGCGCGAATTCCTGCCCAGCATGATCCAACAAAATCATGGACATGTCATTACAATCGCTAGCATGGCCAGTTTTGTGGCATTGGGTGAAATGGTCGACTACTGCTGCTCAAAGGCGAGTGCGTTGGCGTTCCATGAGGGATTGGGCCAGGAATTACGGCTTTGGTATAAGGCTCCCAAAGTTCGGACTAGGTATGTTCTCTCCTGTATTTTCTTTCTTTCTATTCTTTTCTTCCTCTCTTCCTTTATTTAATTTGAATACATCGGTGTTCCGGAGAAGGGGCTAATCGTGCAGTGTCATCCACCCTCACTGGGTCAAAACCCCCATGATTCAAATATTGACCGACGTGGGTCATCAGTTCAAGGGGCCCATCCTCACGCCGGAAATGATATCTGCTGCTGTTGTAAAACAGATTCTCACTCAGAGCAGCGGACAGGTTATCATACCGAACCACTTCAGTGCGATTAGCCTGATCAGGGCATTCCCTTCCTGGTTGCAGGAGGCAGCTCGCGGCAAAGGGTCAAAGGACCTGAGGGTTTTGCGGGATGTACAGGAGGCTAAGGGCATGTAAATGACCCCAGACGTGGAATTAATTTAATGTGTTCATGTTATGTATATTCAGTAAGTTAAACATACAACTACAGTTCTCTAGAGTAAGTATTGAGATTCGCAATAGCATTGAGTGTAGTATGCCCAAACTATTACTGTATGTAGACTGAGTATCCCTCAAGATCATCATCTATCTGTTCAAACTATAGATGGCATACTAGCCCATCGAGTGAGATATCATAGCGAAGATACCTTGTACTATAAAATGCGTTTGTTTATACATTTAGAAATAAACTATATACTCTGAAGGTTGATTCATAAGGGGTGTTCGTTCTCGAAGTTGACATCGTATGTAAGGAAAAACTAGAGTCATTCTAGTCGTATCTACAAAGTCTCTCTCAACCAGCTCTTCACTCTCTTCCCCTGCTCCGTCTCAGTTTGGTCCCCGATATACAAATTGTAGATAGGTGCGACATGACCCTCCCGCTGGCCAACACACAACTCCACGTTCGGGAAGCCCTCCTGCTCAGGTTAGATAAAATCATCGCGTGGTTAACACCAGCTGAAAAGCTTACCTTTAATTTCTTCACGAAATCTTGGATGATCGGGAAAAGAATCTCGCTTCCTCCAGCACAAACTAAAATCTTCTCTACCGGAAACGTGGAGTACCAGTCTGCCGGCGCAGTAGATAAATCGGTATAGTAATCGCGTTCGGCGGTACCCAGGTAGGCGTTGGCCCATGGTCCTGCTACTGCAGGTGTGATCAAATCCCCTCGAGAATCGATCTCTTGTCCCGAAAAGTCCGTCTGCATTAATGTCCACGGAGCGATCATGACCGCGCCGCGGAGGTGCTCGGATAGGTCCACCGGGGCAATAGCAGGGTGGGGATGCGCCAAGTGGGACAAGACGCCGCCGACCAGGTTCCCTCCTGCCGAATCACCACCCAAGAGGATGTGGCCTGGTGAAAATTTGGTCTGGTCAACCACATACCGCAAGGCTTCCACAGCCTGCCGAATCTGTGTGGGATATGTTGCATGGGGGGCCAAGGTGTATGTCAGACTGAAAACCGCCAAGGATTTATTGGCACGGGCACTGTCTGTGATCAGGCGAGTAAAGAAGCGGAAATAGCCCAAGTTCGCTGGGAGGGCAAATCCACCACCTGTGGGCAGTTAGCAGGCATAACAGGTAAAGTGTGACGGTTATCCCCGTAGTACAACATACCGTGATACCAAATCAAGACATTATCAGCATTGCGGTCTCCGATCCAATGGCCCAATGCACCATGGCCCAAGTCGACCGTGTCTGCTACTTTTCTGGATTTGCGCACATACTGATCATAGATCTTATTTGTCGGGGGCATCACATATCTGTGCAGTCAGCGATCGTCAGGCCCGTTAGACATAGACATAGACATGGACATGAGGAAGCTGCGTACTGCATTTGCGCAACGGACAGTCGACTGGTTGCTTTCCGGAACGCGGCATACCCGACATGTAGGAGCCAACTCTTAGGATAGGACGATGAACGCCATAGTCCCGTGAACATTGCCCACACAACAGTGACGCAAAGTGACACCAGGGCGGGAAGAAAGTCCAGTTTCTCCGCGAAGGAAAGGGGGATTGCAGTGTTGAGCATGTTGACTGGATTGCCGCTGGTGGTAGCTAGTAGCCCTGTCATACCGTCGTATGATCCATGTCCCTTGTAGCACACAAGCCCTTCTATATTTATTGCGTGAATACTCGTCAAAGTCAAGCTCCCTTTGGAAGGAGGGAGCGTTTCACCTCATGTCTTCATGTGAGGAGGGGATCGCAACGATTACTGTATTGGGTAATGATAGACCCCACAGACGATCATCGGCACCAGCAGAAAATCTAAATCAGATCCTCGGCCGTTTCCCCAGACTGTCGCGTCGGACGATCCTTGAAGTTTTTAGCATATAATCTCCGCCATCACCACCTCTCCTCATTTCTAGAGCTCGCGACGATTTCTCGTTTCGGAAATGGACAACCGAGGCATGTGAGCCATTTGGCAGATGCATCCTTCTACCGGATATCCAGAGCATATAAGTCGGGCTACGAAGCTCATACGGATATCTCTGCCACCTTAAAACACCCTGTCGAGATGGAGCAATCTTTTGATGTTGTTATCATTGGTGCCGGTATCTCCGGCATCAACACTGCTTATCGCTTGCAGTCTCAAAACCCTAAGCTTCGCTATACTATCATCGAAGCCCGTAACAACCTGGGCGGCACCTGGGATCTCTTCAAATATCCTGGAATTCGTTCAGACTCGGATCTCTTTACTTTTGGATTTTCCTGGCACCCATGGGACCAGGGAAATCCCATCGCCGATGGACCCTCCATCGTCAAATACATGAACAACGCCGCCGAGAGACACGGCATCAAGCAACACATCCTCTTCGAACATCGCCTTTTAGGCGCCGATTGGTCTTCGACAGAGAACACCTGGTCACTAAGCGTCGAACATGAGGGCCAGTCCAGGTCATTCTCGGCCCGGTTTATCGTATTTGGCACCGGCTATTACGACTACCATATGCCTTTGCAAGCCGAAATCCCCGGGCTGGATCAATTTCAGGGACAGATCATCCACCCACAGTTCTGGCCCGAGGGCCTGGACTACAGCGACAAGAAAGTTGTCATTATCGGTAGTGGTGCCACCGCGGTGACTCTGCTTCCCAACCTTGCCCAGAAGGCCAAGCATGTTACCATGCTCCAGCGTAGTCCCACCTATATTCTTTCTATCCCGAACCAGCAGCGTTCGTGGTTGAGCTATATTCTTCCCGCGGCTCTTGATCGCAAAATCCAGCGTCTACGATGGCTTCTCAGCTCACGATTCTTCTTCCTTTTCTGTCAAGCCTTCCCGACCCTCGCCCGGTTCATCCTCCGCCTGTCTGTATCCCGCCAGCTGCCTTCCCACGTTCCACACGACCCGCACTTCCGCCCACGATACAACCCATGGGACCAACGTCTTTGCATATGCCCTGATGGGGACTTCTTTAAGAGTTTGCATACTGGTCGCGCAAATGTGAAGACTGACACAATCCGCGAGGTCACGGCATCGGGGATCGTCCTCAACTCTGGAGAGAAGTTGGACGCGGATATGATCATTACAGCCACCGGACTGAAATTGCAGATCGCGGGCGGAGCCTCTGTCACGGTTGACGGAATTCCTCAATATGTTTCCGACAAGTATATCTGGCACGGAATCATGTTGCAAGACGTTCCCAATGCCGCCTTTGTCATCGGCTATACCAACGCCTCCTGGACTTTGGGCGCGGACGCAACAGCGCAATTCCTTTGCCGACTTCTCCAAGAGTTGGAGCAACGAGGCGTCAAGGCAGCCGTGCCACGGTTAAGTCCCGCCACTGCCAAAGAGATGCAACCGCGTCGGTTGTTGAACCTCAATTCTACCTACGTGACCAAGGCAGAACGGGACCTACCCAAGGCGGCGGACAGAGGACCATGGCTGCCAAGAGATAATTATCTCGATGATATCAAGTTTGCGAAGAAGGGCCGCATCGATGAGGATATGGAGTTTCTGGGTGAGAAGAAATTGCAGTAGATCTATGTATAGATCCTGGAGTTAGAGGTTGTTGTGATTCTTCATGTTCATAATCATGTCTTACGGATGCCGAAATGTCATTTCCTTTCTTCTATCTAAATACTGGCCACGAAAAAATACAACTTAGAAATGAACGCAACAAGTCCGTTTCAAGTGTATGTTTAGATGTTTAATCGCACCCCACTCCCACAACATAGCTTCTACCTATCAAGACCGAACGTCACAGCCCCCGGACCTCCTAACATATGACGGCCGACTGAGAAAACTTTGATTTATCCTCGGGATAAAACGGTTTACACTCATGGATCTTAGGGCGCCACATAGGGCAGCAGCTCTCATGTCTGGCTGTTGATCAGACAGAGGAAGAAAAATGCCTCATTTGCCCAGGAAATGGGCCTTGATCTAGGTAATATCGACCCTGAGAAGGGGGACTAAAGGCCTATCCTAAATCTTGCAATGGAACTAGAAGAGGAGCTAGGACCTCTAACCCCCCTCCAAGCTTCCAATCCATGGGAAGCAATAGTTTAAAATTGGCTTGAGGCCTGACATAAGACGCTTCCCTTGGGACGGTAACTCGCTTATAACCACTTACATCACAACGAAGTCACCTCGGAGCGCCGCGAGGGTCAATGTCTGGTCTACAAGAACAATAGGCACTTTTTTTTTTGGCGCTTTCCAGGGTCTACCAGGCGACGTTACCTTGGATGACTAAGAATTCTCACAAGACTTGCCTACCATACTGTTGTTGGTAATGTAACTCTGCCAGCAGGCTGCCGGGTTGAAGAAGCAACTCCCAGGGGTCGTTATTGAACTCTTCTCCGACCAACAGTTTTTGGAAAAGAGATGCAGAGGCCACAAAGCCAATCAGTGACCACTTCGCTTCGATCCAGAGGTTCGAACCGCTAGGTTCCTGCGGAGTCCCAAGCCAAACCCTAGAAAAGGCAATAGGTCACTGCGTTAGATTCTGGGTTCCGGCCCACAACAAGGTGATCCCAGCGTGAACCCACCGATATACGCAGCATTTCTGTATGGACCATGGCTCTCATACTATACAGGTACCTGTTCAATGAGGTTATTCGTGAACTGATTGAAAAGCTGACAAAAATTGATTCGGCGGGGTGCAGAAGCGCTTATAGGCTATTGATCCTGATTCGCGGCTTTTCCAATTTCAAAAAAAGTCTGTCTCCAAAAGACGCATACTAGTATCCTTACATCTCTCAGGAGCAAATATCACGAGCAGGAAAGCTAAAATGGGGCAGTCATAGCTTCCCTAAACATGATTGCGTTTGAATCAACCATTGGCAATCTCCTATTCGCTCGAAGGATGACATCAGAATAAGTAAAGGTGGGTTGAATATCTGCCTTCTAGTGAAGAAGATATAAATTTTGCTCTAGGTAGCCCAGCTGATATGGATGAGATGCAACTGCCAATCATACAATTATATACCCATTCCACATGTACCTCTTCACGGCCCCTGTGATGCATATACTATTCTCATGAACTTGAGCAGTCTCCTTCACGTAACGCTAGTGGCGTTTGCTATCTACACTGATTAATATGACTTCAATCGCCGTTGTACAGCCACAGTTTCTATGGGACCTGGCCCCTACGTTCCCTCAGCTGCCAACATGCTTCAAACACCCCACAAATGAGCGGCAACCGCTGAGCCTGGAAAACATCAATCCGTATGAGGCATGGCATAAATATGGCAACGCCTCTTCCTATGTCATGTGCAATGCAGACCAGTCAGGTCTCGCTTGTTCACAGCCTATTTCGGACGCGATGCCTCTAGCGGAAGGTACTTTGCCCATTCAGACAACCACCCAGGCGATCATTGGTGAGCCCAAAAGGAGTGCACAAAATACGACCGTCTCCAAGCCAGATGCCATGGAGCCTTCACACATATTCGCAAATCACGACAAGATAAACAAAGATTGGAAGGCAAGACGAGACAAGATCCTCCAGCGTAACCGCCAAGCTGCCAAACGATGCCGGCAGCGAAAAAAGCTCGTCGTAGAAGAAATCGAATCCCTTGCCGATGCGCATGTCTGGCGGAACAACGAGCTTCGGATGCAAATTGAACAACTGCGTTACGAAATTCTGGACCTTCACAGCGAGATACTGAAGCACGCACAGTGCGATGACGAGCCAATCAAGCGATATCTTTCGCAGAGGGTTAGAAAAATTTCGGGGGGACATATACTCGACACCGCTAGTCCTCAGCCGATAGACCCGCGGCTGTCTTTCTCTTCTTTGGAAGCACCACCCGAACAACACTCAACAACTAAGACTATTGTATATCCAGAAGATCATGGCGCTCAGTATGACTCGCACGGCTTTGGTGCCGAAATTTTGCCTTGCCACCATTCAGCCTCAATGTCAGCTTCGTCGGATGGACAGACTGTGGACCGCACTTTGTTCGAAAATGATCAGCTACTAACCTTATCGCCGTGCCATCAATGGGTTCCAAGATGCTCTTGTACCCTTAGCCCTATGATCATAAGTTCCTCTTGATATATAAAGATCTCTTGATATGTATATCAATATCAGCTATTGGAGAGAAAGACAAAGACTGAGAAGAAAAGCAGAGGAGTTTTATAGGGCCTTGTCTACGCTGCTAGGGTTTCAAACGAAGCCAGTGCAAGGTGAAGGGAGTGATTAGGATTTGGAACATGGACTAGGACCTATAATATAGCCTTCGCCGTTATTATTGTACAGAAAATATAGTTATGACCTATTCCTGAAAGTTCCATCAAGTAAACATCGCCCGGGAAGGATCCAAGGATAATCGGATTCATCTGTATAGGTACTGCTTCTCAAAATCTATGTAAGTCATGAGATTCCACCGGACACTAACAATATCTTGTCTCTAGTACATACGATTAGGTGACCCTCCTTTGGTCCCGCTGACCTCAAACTTTCACAAAATAAAACACATTTACGGAATTGGACAGTGCCACATCACAAGTACCATGTGTCAATTCCTCGTCCTGACTCTGAGATGATCATCACTGCCAAACACCGCTCTGCACAGCACTTTTCACCCCGCAAGTCGAAGGAACAGTGTATTTCCGGTTGGGGTCACTCTCCCACGTAACCACCCCGTTCTGAACGCGAATGAACTTATACTCGAATGACTGTCCAGCGGGCAAGTTAATTGTCCCCGTCCACAAGGGATTATCCGTAGTGTATCTGTCCGCGTTCAATGCAGTGGCGCTGCTAGGATTCCAGCTCCCAAGCTGAGAGAGCGACCCGACAATCTTGATAGTCTCACCGTAGACAGTAGTAGCTTTCACATCAAAGGTCACTGACACAGTCGTCGGTTTCTGGCAGGGGCTGTCTGGCGCGCCTGGGTATCCGCTAATGGTCGGCCAAGATGTGATAACCACGCTGCTGTAGGTGCCCGAGGCGGAAGTCGGGGAGCAAGCCGACGGAATGCTGGTGGCAGCGGTCTCGCCCCACGGTGCAGGAACGACAGCGTTTCTTCGGTTGTGAGCCGTGAGAAGTGCAGCGTACGACCAGGTAAGATCCCGGGCGGAGGTCTGGCTTCCATCCGTTTTGGTAAATTGCTCGGACATTGAGCCGGTGGATGTGGCGTAGGTTTGCTGCAGTCATTAGCAATACTAGCGATTAAGTAGAGTGAGAGGAGAGGGGGGTAACTTGACGTACGACGATCTGCACATATCCGTCTGCATAGGCTCTGACGGCCTTGACTATATCCTTATACACCGTCGTGGACGATGCGTAGGTCCCTGTCGCGGCAGAACCGTATAGAGCTTTGAAGAATGGCAGAGAAACATCCGTGATGGCCAACGATCCAATTTGATCCCACTGGTATAACGCGTCATACAACTGCTCTGCAGCGGCCAGAGTAGTCAGGAACCAGGGATTCCCATTGTAATAGCTGTCTTCGGGGTAGCGACCAACAGCAACAGCTTGATTCTCAGCGCGACCGGAATTAATGGAATAGATCGAGCGGAACGAGTCCGTTACCACCTTATGGTTGGCTAAGGCTCGCGCCGAACAGGGCTGGAAGGTAGCATCATCACACTTTGCTTGGGGATCAAACGTGTGGATACTACCTAGGACAGTGTTGATATCCTTGCCCGATCGACCGCCACCAAAGTTAGCCTGTATGTAACTCCCGGTCCAGAAGGATTGTAAATAACATCGGACTTGGGGCGCTTGCGAGTCACAGTAGGGGCACGAGGAACCGACGGTCTTTGCGAAGCTACTGCCTTCTACCAAAGCGCGATGAGAAACCGCGACAGTAAAGAACGATGTTCCTTGGACCTCCTCCCAGAGGTCTGTGAATGTTAGCTACTGATAGATGCGTGCCATCTCTCTGGGAACTCACCGAACCCGGATTGGCTCCAATATTGAGCCACATACGATAGATCATTCCTGACGACAGGCCAGACCAGGTCTGTCGCTATGCTTTTATGACCATTTTCCTACAAAGTAAGCTAAGCCTAGTCTGAAGAGAGAACAGCACTGACCACTAGCCATTGACCAAATGAGATCATAGCGGTCGCTCGCAAAGCTGGCCCGTCACGCTGTGGCCGACCCCATGCGCCTGTGAATGCCGTCTCGTCGGCATTGAACTTAGGTTCGCCCAGGCCCCCACTAGAAAGAGCACCAGAAGGGTTGGAGATGCCTTGGATCCGAGCCTGGGAGCTAATAAACTCCTCGATAATAGGGAGAAGATCGGCATCTCCGCCTCTGAACAGATCGACCAGGGTTTTCATGACGAGACCCGAGTCACGGGTCCAGGTATAGAAATCTACGGCCAGTAAGTCAACTGAAGGATTGCAGGAGACCAGAGCACTTACAATCTGGGTCACTTTTGCTCGGGCTTGCAATCACCACCCCTGGACTTGCGCCCTGCACCGACTGGCCATCTGCACCGATATTATTCAGGATAGCCTGACGAGAAAACTTTGCTTCGGTATTCAGCCAGGTATCTAGACCTGGCTCCTGTCTAAGGATAGGTTGGACCGCGAGAACTGAGGATCCGAGGGCCAAGGCCCGGAGACAAGAGGAGAAAGACACCATGTTGCTTCGACTGGGATTGTTGATGCGAAAATAATCCTCTCACTGGGACGATAAACCACGATACCTTTTATAATAACCCTAGTGAAGGGTTCGGGTCGTTCGTGCTTCAAAACATCATCCGACTGACCTGAAGCAAAATCGAAGGTGCGGAGTGTCAGCCAATGCTGAGAGAGCAGTCACCAGGTTAAATTTCCGGAGGCACTTCTGCAAGCCAAGAGAAGTTGACTATTTTCTAATAGTCATGCAGCTGGCTGGAGCCAAGACGCCACAACTTCCAATCACGCTGCTCGCTTCAAGACCGGAAGAAGCAGCCACAATTTAATTTCGCCCGGGAATTCGCCGTCCCCTGTCTGCAGAACATCTACAATGGGCTTTTCCAAGGCCTAGACTATGGGTAGACCATGATATAGTAATTGTGGTCTAGTCTCGCGTCCCTTGCACACTCACATTTCCAAACGCCTAGAGACATTACCTTCCCTACAGAATCCCCGACGTAATACCTGATTCTACCTGTCACACGAAATACAGCAATGTATATAAGTCTAAGCGCCCATATAAGCTTAACCGACATCGAGTTGAAATAGTAATGACATATATTTTGGTGGTGGGTGGATATTATAGATCGATTTGCGATCGAAAGCAATTCCCACCTAGGGCTACTATGGAGTGCGACTTTTGCTTTAGCGTAGGCCCTTCTATTGTTCTTCAGGAGATACAAAAATCACGTCTTCCCATCTTACTGGGCAATATTTGGAACTGTGATTTCCAGGATGCCTAGACAATTCACCGTTGTAGTATATGTGTATACATTCATATGCGAGTCGAGGTCAACAGCCAGTGTTTCCGATGTCAATCCCCCAAGGGAGAGAAAAAGATCTTTTGGGAGTGCCAACTTTTCTCCCCGCTGCTTGTACAACTTCTCTCCCTCGCGTCTTGAGATACCATCAAAATATTCCCACTCTAATCGAGCCAACCTTCGTCCCTCGAAACGTTTATTTACCTGGAAGCCTAGATCCCTGAATCGTATCCAAAGAAGAAACAGCCTCCATCTCGAACCCCACGGCCTCAAAAGAAGGTAGAAAAAGGGAGGTAGCTACAGGATTCGGGGTTGAACCTACTATGATGTCGGGCATGAGTCACGTGTGGCTAGTTTTCTGTTGCCTCAAAAGGTTACGGGGAATTTTTTATTTGCAATTTTTCTAGGGACCAGAACTAAATGGAAGACTCTCTAACTCGGTTCTCATTTTAATCAAGAGAATGGGGGCCGCTCCGGGCCTAGTTCTATTCCTATAGTAATTCCTTGCATTCGTATTTTCTGTACTCAACTCGAGACAATCTTCTTCTTACAGCCCCAGATCACTTATAAAAAGGCTCGATATACAATCTCTGGAGTTTTGAATGGGATACGGCCTCCGGTATATTACGTGCTACATGTACAGTAGCCAAGCCCCCCCCCCCCCCCAAAAAGACCCATGGGCGCTGTTTGTATATTAAGGATGAAAACTAGCGCACGAACAATTTGGCCAGTTGATAGAGCCTACATGGTGACATTGTACGACTACGACATAGTTTATTACTTGTTACTTGTATATTGGGAACCTATAGGTTTCATGATCAATGAGATCGCTAACTTTCTCCATCCACCACCTAACCCTAGAGCATTACACCTTCACCTTGTGAATCAGAGAATTTAAATATTACTAGTAGTATGAATGCGTCTGAATCATCCTTCAATGCTAGGTTTCAAAATCCACTCAACCCTCTATGTATTCCATCCCTTGGGCACCCTCAAAATGAAATCCTCTGATGTCGATAGACACGCAATTCCATCTCCAGTTGGCGGGACTACCTTGCCGGTGAAGCTGACATCGGGTCATGTTCGCTCTATCATTTCTGTTAATGCTGCTGACCATCCCTATGGTATGATACTAGTAGCTACTTTCAATTAGGAAGCATGCATGCAGTTAAGAGAACCAGCACTTTGACCTCATGATATCTAGTTACTAGAATATATCTTCTGTTTTGTGTACGAACCCAGGTCTCTAAGACATTAATGGGGATAGCAATGACGGATATTGATCAAGCCGACAGAGTTACTAGCGAGGTACATTAATAATATTATAAGCAATATCTACATGTTAGCCACATGTCTAGCACGGCCCGGTCCGAGTGTATGGCATGGCTGTGACAATGCAGAGAACATAGGTACTCGCGACTGCTTGAGTATGGCACTGCAGTCCAGTATCACACTCGGCCAGTAGTAGTCAGAGCAAGGCTTATTGATAGTGGGAGGTTACATTGGCGGTGGGGATGACCCTATCCCACGTGCTCTAACTTTTGTATGCCGAGCGCAGGAGGGGGGTTAAGAGTGGGGAGGTAAGATATCCTTCCAAATGAACGAAGAAAAGAAATGGAATGTATATTGTATGGCATTTTTGAACCATCTTTACCCAACCTCAGCGTATACATCGGCTATTACTAGTGAAATACCAATGCCATGGACCGACTTTTGTTAAATTATCCGTCTACAACGCAGAGTGACATCAGACTGTCTTCCAATGTTTACCGGAGCCTCCGAATATTTCTCAATTATCACGAGCATCTATA